CTGAGATACAAGAACAGACCCGGCCAGGAAAGCTTGGGCGAACGTCTTTATCATGTAAACCAATCAGTGAATCCGTGATGCTCCTGACCTACATCTCAAGGTCGTTAATTGGCGTCCGCGGCATTTCAAAAATTTTGTGTTGCTGTACGTCTGGTAGAGAATCGTTGAACTAAGAGGCTTAATTAGGATTTGTTGGGGTGCTCAGTTTTTGAACTGGACGACTCTGTGTATTTCAAACAAAATATTGCCCAGGATACCTCTTCTTTACGTACTGGAAGGCAGTAGAAATATTCACACTTCTCGTCTTTGCAAAACCTAATTGACCATTCGGTATGCGGCATTCTCAGCACAAATGTTATCTGAATGACACAAAATATTTTGGTGCGCGACGCTACCAGCCGCGGAATGCGCTGGCTTTGGATGGCTCGAGTACGTGCATTTAACAGTTACTCTTATGACTGACAAAATAATTAGTGTTTACATTGAAATCTGAAATCGTGCGCAACGTGAGGGAGGAACCGTCTTCGTAGCTAGTGATGGTGCGTAAGGGCAGCAATGTCACGATGTTCCTTCATTCCCACGGGGATCTCATAAGGCTCGTAAAGGAATCAGTGTCTACCCAATTAGCACGCGTCTGCACCGGGGCGCGGAACCCGTGCGGAATCTGTGCAGAACTTCTGCATTATTGTTCGGCTTTTAAGCCGGGGGAGAGTAGAACTTTTAAGAGGCATCAAAGCTTCTTTGTTTGTCTCACAGTAATAAAAAACCAACATACACTGCATTTCCGGGTACCTACGGAATGTAAACCGTCGATCGATTCAAGTGGTTTTGTTTTGGTGCACCACTTCCTCACCCGAGTGCGGACTGGGTGCAGAAATTTGTTTCATTTCCGCGCTGGTTCCGCACCCGGGTGTAGATTCTGTGCGGATATTGTGCATAAATTTCTGCACCCGGGTGCTGTACATCTACACGGGCCAAAGAGATTGGAAAAGCCCCTGTGAAGAAACTTTCAACAAATCAAAGTTGGTCAATCGTCAGTATCCAGACTATTAGATTTTTTGTGATCATTTTCATCGAAAAACTCACCGACGTTTACAACTTGCTCTCTAGCGAAGCGAAAACGTAAAAAGCGTCTACTGTCGCACCTGACAGATTTCGTTAGTCGAATTATTTGAAGGAGGGCCATTCAAAAATCGACTACTCAACAGCCATCAGCACAATTTCAGACAACTGAGGAACACGACAACGGATTGTCAGGGATGTTCCATCAACAGTGTTAAAAGTTTCTTTCTTTGCGGTTTGTAGAGGGTTCTGGTTTGACATGCCGTTAAATCTACTTCAAACCTCCCAGTGCTGCTGGGTTGAGGATAATTCACAGTACCTGAAGTATAAGGTATTGTTGGTAAAGAGTGAAAACCTGAGGTTGGTGGTCCAACTTGGGTCGTGCAGGATTTTCCTTAATATGAAGATGTAAGTACTGAATTCATATACGGCTGGCCTCGCTGCCTCATGGATGTCTCGGGGGCTATAAAAGAGCGGGGTGTTGATTTGCCTTGGTCCATTTTTAAAAGAACCTTTGGTCTTTAAGCTGACTTTTCATTGCAACGGAAAAGACAGGTACTATAAACCCGAACGTCTCTCTGATGGACGTCGCATTGAGGATCTGTGTGAAAGAAACATCTTCTGTTCACCCGAGACATGGGCAAGTGCGAAGTGAATTCTATTCACCGAAGAACGCTGAGTGGGTGTTTGCAAATTTACACTAGTCGGTCACGCCGGATTTTGACCTACAACAACCAATAGGTCAGGAAAGCAGATTTGTTACCTTCATTGAGAATCGAAGCTGTTTGGACCAGAAATCCCACTGTTGCTGGCTTACGTACACTTTGTTGTGAAAGAATACAGGTTCGACTTCGTTAGAAACAATGAAGGTTACGAGAAAAGCCTAAAAATGTCCGAAAAGCAGTTTCCATTTCATCTAAAAAAACGGAAAACTGGATCTGGCGGGTTTCATCTTTTTAGTATATGTCCACCTGAAACCATTTTCTTCTATCCCTCTGCCGTAAGCCATAGTCATTTAGCGGGGGGTATGATCTCGGAAAGGTAACGAAACACCATTATCAAGTCAGGCTGGAAACAAAACGTCAGCTGAGCAATCATCGGCTGATACATCTAAAGTTCATGGCCAAAAGGATGGTGGAAACATGGGTGGAGTGACCGCTATGGGGTTCATTAAGATTGGCGTCTCAAAAAACCGAAGTAGCACAGATTTTTTTAATCACATCAGTCTTGCTCTACAAATTTAATGCCGGTATCCAAAAGTCGGGCGCGGTCGGTTCATTGAGACTGCCAGGTAGGCTCAGTATCCAAAGGATTCAGTGAAGTGTTCGACAGAACATTTCGAGCTTCTGTTATTTGCATTTTACAAGCAAGTGGGTTTCCACCATCCTTAGACCCATTGACAGCAAGCTTTCTGCGCCTTGTTATGTGGGATGGAAAGCTTCTAGAACGACAGTAGAGAGAGCGAGTTGAGAATTCCAGGAGTCGATACTGTGCCATGCACGCTTCAGCATCCATGCAAAATACTAAGCTCAAAGGATTTGACAGATGTTTGATGTTTTTGGATGAGCTGCTGGTGTCTATCAGCATCCGAAAAGAAGAGGTCAAGACATTTCTTCTTCTACGCGGGAAACTGGTATCAGAAGCTGGTATTAGAAGCATGGTTTGCGGCTCATTCCCAAATCACTGACTAGGTTAAAAGAATATCAAGTATACGCTGAGATGTATGAGGATACTTGTTCAAAGGTGCTTCCTCCCAGATAGTCAGACACTCGACGAAATCGCCGGGCGTAAATCTTGGACACTGATAACTTAAAGTTCTGGCCCGGATACTGAGCAACCGGGAATCCACCCAAGTACCTAGAGAGATGTAGAAAATATATTTACTACCTTGACTCAGATCTGGAGGTATAAAACGCATTATGAGGCCAAACGCCGGAGTAACTTCAAATGAATCAAACCCAAGAATTAGTCACTGTCTGAGCTTTTTCCAAGCCCGGACACATCATATCTATCCGCACAAGGTGGAATTGATCATGCCATTCTCGTCAGATTGCTGTTTTGTCCTCTTTTACAATCGTCAAAGAATTTTACGGTGCACATGTTAGGGTAGCGCGCCACTGGTTCCAATCAAGTTGATTCACCTATGGTTATGTATCATAAACACTGCTTGGTGTTGATCAGTATCCGGATCCAACGAAAATGTGTAGCTCAGAGACACTTGTTTGACGTGAAAGTACTTCAGAGCACCATAGACAGTATTTTGTACCCTGAAAAACTCGAAGGGTTTCTTAAGGGACCCACCAATAAGGATGCATCCGAAAAATTAAGAAGGGTCTCTGTGGACTCCCTATAAGCCTTAGACGGCTTTAAATAATCTAAAGAGGAGGCATTTGTTCTTTCCTCAGGTCAGCACATAGAAGGTCGCAAGGAAATGTGCTAAGCAGCCGGAATTTTTCAAATCAGGCTCAGAAACTGCACAATAATTCATCTCAGATATTTTTAGATGCACACACTGACTTGTCAATCGGTTCTTTTTGTGCCTCGAGAATAGCTGGAGTCACGCTAAACACACCAGCCTCATAAGACGACAGACTACACTTGTGCTATTTCTTCAAGTTTGCGTACTCAAAATTCTGAGATGGTGACTCTCGCCGAGATCAGAGTATATATCCGAAAACACCAAGCGTTCGGTCGTGCAGGATGCGGTTCAAAGGGTCTGAGATCATATCAAGTATGAAGAAAAATTAGCGTCTTGGTTTTTAACTCATCGGGCCAGGCAGATGTTACACACACAATCTACGTTATTGCCCAATGTCACAGTGATTAAAAGTAATTCCCAGATCGCCTTCTAAGGTGCACATCTTTCGAGATAGTGTTCACCAAGTTTATTCATTTGATTTTCGTAAACGATCCGCCACTGGTAGACGTAATCCATCTTTTATCCCCGGTTATGGCACGTGACTACGCAGTTAGGTCTTTGTCTTCGACAAGCGACACGTTTCACGAGAATTAGGATAGTCAACATTCAAAATGACTGTGTCAGAGAATTGCGTTAGTTAGCCAAAATGGTCGAGTGGAATGTACCAAACGCCATCGATACCGATTAAGAATGAGAAGTATCATCAACAAACTACAGTGGCTTTGTGCTCACGCACCGCCAAAAAGGTAGTCGTGGGCTTACGGGGAATTAATTCGACTAATGAGAGGGCTTATTCGCATTTCAAACCGCCTTCCTTTGAAAACCCGCACATAAATATATATACGACATGTATTTTGGCCTGCAATCATGCTTCTTTGATTAAAAAACTCAGACGCTTAGCGTACCATGCCTTTCATTGGAAACACCTAACAGCACATCGCGTATCACATGTACTTACGGGGATCATGGGTCTGGGAAGCGGGACGGGCCCCAAAAATAACCAAAGCTCTAAGTGAAGCTATGGCAGATAACGCAGAACAGACAGATAAGTTTGCCGCGGTCTTCTGCAGCTCATAACAGCCGGCAATTAGCTCCGGTGGCGGCGATGCAATCGTCTTAGTTTTAACTGGCTCCAGAAGAGAACATCTTTTACCTTTTTCCACCGAATTAACTGACTTTCAACCCGACAGGACCGGTGGCTGGTCAGGTTTAAGCACCTATTGACTGTGTGAGTAAAACAACGGGTCGCCAAGGCATTCCACGAAAAGGACTGCCATAATGACCCACGAATCACTACCTGGTGGCTATCTTTGGCAAAATGCTTGAGAAAATTGTGCCTATAAATAGCTTCCGATCAATTATAACAAAAGTTCCTTTGTTTTTCAATAATGCCGTTTGACACGCTCAATCGATACCCAGCGATAGTTGTCTGAGACGCTAGTATAGCTATTCTACACGTTTGATCTCTGCAAAGCCTTCAGCGGTACTATATTCGGAGACGCCACGAGTGGATAGCAGCATGTCCCACAGAACGTTAGATGATAGTGAACATAATCGGCTTGCAGACAGTGACCAGCAACACTGCAATGGATCTGGTTTAAGGAACATTGTTATTCACTTGGGTGGTGACAAACCGACCTCAGTTTACGTTTCGATATGTCCATTCTTTGCAAACGATCAGAACCCTTCGCGAGAGAACGTGTTCGTCAAGCAAAATGACGTTTCCTACTGGAAGTTTGAATATGCGCTTTCTAGCAGTGTGGTCACTCGTCGACACATATGATGCCATTGGACGATGATGGTTAAACAGCAGTAAATCCAAGCAGCGAACGCCTACGTGTGATCGTTTATATGGACCTCAAGAGGAAGAACCGTGCGCATGCTCACTTCGCATTCATCGGTATATTGCATCAGCCTTCAGGCGTTGCTGGTCAAACTATAACAGTATTTTCCTAACATATGTGGGACCATCGTTTAAATACATCACACCAGTACTCTTTCTCTGCTCCGTGAGTGGGGGTCAGGGGATCTAAGGCCGCCTCAGCTGCTGGATATGAAGACAGTAAACATCCTTCAAGTTCACAGTGATTCATTCAGCTCGGTTCTTTTAACCTTGCATACCGCGGAGTTCCGGAAGACCCAATACTCCTGATGGATGATGGGTCACAGCCACGGGGTTGGGATTAGGAATTGTGTACATTGCCTGCATCAGAAAGACCACGATAAAATCCTGAGTGCCGTTGTTTGGGTCGTCTGGAGTTATGACGTTTATAATCAAAGTGAGGCGGATATTTCACGGAGTTCTCCTCGGAATTGACCTAACCGCCTACGCTTTCTTGACTGTTGATATCAGTTTCATCGGTCAGGGCCGCAACGCTGAACGGGTGGCATGGATAAAGTCTCGAATAAGACGAAGCCGCAGTAGTGAAAGCTGACGAAATGGCTAAACACTCGGCATGTTACTGTTAAAGTCAGTATGCACATGAAAATCCACATCTTCCGCCCCGGACACGTTAGACAAATGTCATTTATCCGCATGTGCATTCGAGTTCGGTATATGATCACTCCAAGTGATGGACAGTGGAGCTAGGTGACAGTCAAGCGTAGTCGCTAACACTGCTTCTGCATAAAATAATGGCCTCGACTGCTTGCTATATTTCGTGCAGTGCAAACGCCCAGAACTGACTGTACGGACAGACAGGCGTGAAGACGGGCGTGATCCTTACTGTTCATCATGGGTTATCGGCAGCGGTTGGCTCATGGACTGCCGTTATTTGTAAAATCAGAACGGAGTTAAGTGATGTGCCGAATTACCATTGAGCTGATTTTATCTGCTATGGTTCTCTGAATCCGAATCCGATAGTGGGAAACTGATACATGCATCAAGCGACCTGTCGGACTGGACGTCATCGATGGACAGGCCGTTCGTCAAACACCCATTCTTATGGTCCAAACCCGAATCCAGTGCGTCTTCACTCAAAGATTTGAGACCACCAGTGGTTGTCAACGTACCACCATGAGAATTCTCCAAAGCCCCGTTGCAATGCGCCTTGGTTCGTCTCTTCGTTGTCGCACACGTACGTCGAGATCGCTCAGCATTATCATCAGATACGTGTGTGAAGGACGCTTTGATTCGATCAGCGTTAGTAATTTGCGTATACAACGTGCGATCCCTGCTTTTCTGAATGGCAATATGGTAAAACCATCCATTATGGTCTCTCGGGGTTGTGCAGTCGTAACTGATTCACCAAAATCATAACGAGGCCTAGATTTGCTGCTTTGGTGCAGCCATCAAAATCGTACTACAACTGGGTTCCACTCTTCAGGTTTGCTAAAGTACTAAGACAATCCAGCGTTTTGCAACCAATTCCATTGCCTATATGAGATTTATTGTATGTGCTCATTGATGACAACAAACGGCGGTATCGCACATACGCAATCCGTGGAGCTGTGTACGTGAAGGTTTATGGGCAAAATAGCGCCAGATTAATCAGAGACATAATGAGAAATGCCTTTATCATACAAAGCGGGTAATCAGCGATTTGGTCACGAGCACACTGGGACACCGAAGACATACGGGCAGATACTTTGCGGTTAACACATCGGGACAAGTGGGTAACCTTTATGAGTTTGGCCAAATTTGGCACAAACTCTTGTGCGCAGCCAACCGGTGAGCTCAACATTTTTATTAAACCCGGTCAAATATAATTTATTTTTACTTCAGCGTGTCCATTTCCGAACCATCTAATGGAATGTGTTGTTACTGAAATTCCAAGTGGAGAATAATACACGAACTTACTATTCAGTTTCAAAGCATTCCATGTCCACCAAATAACTCTACCTTTTGAACGCTGAAAGAAACCCCAAAGGCAACTTTGGACGGATTCCTTATCTTCTTAAGGTAACAAATTTAACCAGACTTTCCGCGGAGTGGGCGAAAAAAACTAACTCAGGCAGATGTAATGGTCTCAAAGAATAGAAGAGCGATATTTAGCCATGTTCCGACAGTTCACCCTGCTGCCCTTCCCTAGTAAATATTGGGCCCGATTGTACTACGGAAGACAATCACTATGGGAAAGATGACAACTCTATCCAAACTTCAACTGTTATCTAGCAACTGTGGAGTCATGATCGAAGTCCCTTCACAATAACTCCTAAAAAATCTGCTAAGTCAGAATAACTTTTAGTGATATCTAGCGGCAGTCTAATCGACATTTTCCTGCTTGCGGTGACAGAAAATTTGGTTTAAAATAATCCTTAGCGTGAAGCTTCACTCCAAATGCCTTTGCTCCATTTCATGTATTTTTTGTAGCCCTTAGTGCAAAATGGCGTGCATTATGATCCTATGAACACCAGAAAGCTATGGCCTTTTAACTGCATCACAGTGGGCCCTTTTGATATGTAATAATAACCTCTGCCAAGTCAAAAGTCCGCAACTATTCAAACCTAGTCTAAAAACAGCACATCAGCCAATCAAATCCCTTAGGTGTGAACACACTCGTCTGTTCAGACATGACAACTCAGGAGGGGAGCCCACCGTCCGCTGGTAGGTTAGTGGCAAGACCCTGCATGTTAGACACTTGAGGTGGAAATCTCGATACGCACCAAGGGTAGACAGCATTGATGCACCTTAATGTCAACAAAACTCGAGTCCAGCGCTTCCTGACTTTACTGTGAACGAACTAGAATAATCGCGCTAGGAGGAAACTGTCTAAACGAAAGGAACCTATAACGAATTCCAAAGCTCTCGAAGCTATCTGCAGCCTTTATTTATTAAATGTCTGAGTCTTGTAAATGAACAAAGCAATAAATGTCCTAGTGATAATTATAATTAAAACGTTCACAAAATAACAAAGATGCGTCTCCCTTACTTCAAGTCGGCCATAATAATTCTGTCTACACGTGCGCACTAAAATTGCAAGTCTATCGTCTTTCAAGGGACGGTGGGAGGAGAAAAACATTTCCCTGAAGACTCTTCGACAGCCATCGACTGGTCTCCCCATTTTCGGATCCATCAGACAAGCGCAGTCCCCGAGTTTCAGTCGACTTCATGTTCCACACGAACCCAACCAGGGCATGGTGCCTACGGGATGAGCCTCAAGAAGGGCAAAACCAGTCACGGATTGTCGAAGGTTTTTCAGCAAACTTATGCGTAGTGATCCTTGGGAAATTATGCTGCGACATCTCGATTATCGTACGAAATAGAATGTAACGGAGCCTTTATACGGCGCATTTAGTTGAATAATGTCATAAAGGATAGATTCAGCTGGGATTCAGTTGAGTTTCCTGACAAAGCCACATTGATATGCAAATAAATTTGTTTCATGAGGAGATAAACAGCTGTGCTGAACTGAAAATGATCAACTTAGGAGGAAGGCGTCATCTTAATGAGCCTCGGTTAATTTCGACTAGTTAATTCAACCTCTAAACATGGGCGAAATGTCTTTTCGACTGGCTAAAACTCTTGGTCTTTGTCAGCATATCAGCGTCATCGAAATGAGCCAGCATGGCTGCCAATTTTTCCGCACATACCTCCTACGCTCCAGTTGGCACTCCCCAGTAAAAGAGACTGCTTCCTAGAAAATGTAAATGCTTGTAGGTAAAATTTCTCATGTTTTATTTCGGTTTTTAGGTGCAAACTGAGCTTTGAACGATTAAAGGTGGTCTGTTAACCGCTTCTCCGGCCACAGTTTAAGGTTTAGCAAGGAGAATCACGCTCAAATTATAAGGCAATCCAACGCGCTCATTTTTTGAAATCCTAAACCTTTCTTTAACATATTTGCTCGCGAGGTTTACTGGTATACGCAGATTCGAACGCATTCACTTGGGTGGAAACTTACTGCAAAAGAGACTTCCAGTTCTGTTGCTGAAAGGATTTTCTTTGTCTAGAATCTAGGGCTGGTAGCTTCAACCCTAAATTCTGATAAAGGAACTTCACATAAATTCAGCTTCAGCTTAGATCGGTTCCAAAATCCGACTTTGCGAAATCGAAAACTTCGCCAATCACATAACCAACCACGACAATAATTAACTTATTCATAAGTCAGTGAACTGTAGTGGTTACCGGTACATTGAGATAAACCTCAGACCCATTTTAACGAGGAGCATTTTTTCCGGTCCAAATGTTCAATGCAAAAAATTAGCATTCTTGTGAAGCCCTCGGAGTGTGCGGGTGATTGGTTGTTGGTCCGTTTGCTAAGCTTTGTATTTGGATTGCAAATGTTTCATCACCAATCGGGGTGACATTGTCAGTGTGGAGTTAAGTGAATGATCATGGATGATCTTTCGCGATTAATGCTTTAGTGCCGATTCCTGGTGAAACAATCGTTTAAAGAATTGGCAATAAAGGGTCTCTTTCGAGAGCAATTGGGTCAGTTGCATGCCTGTACTGGCTGAGCTCATTAAAAACATAGTTGCTAGAGGCTAGTGCCAATACGGATAAATTACAGCCACAATTGTGGAAGACGGGACACTTCGAGACATATAGAGCACGCTGAGTACTAAGAAGACATCAAAAACCCAGCCACACTCAGTCTTTCATCGTCTTCAATCTGTACGATGGTCATAGCTGCCATCGGTCGTATAGCTGTGGATAGAGCTTATAAGCTGGTGGTGTGCGTTCGTCAGCCGAACTCGTGGACCTGATGATCGGATTTTGTACGATTCGTACTTTGATCAGATATAGGCTTCCTATCATACTTATATCCATATATTTTTATACAAATAAAATACATTCTTTTTTAGACTTGTGTTGGTAGATATCCTGCAGATGAACACCAATTTACTACTGTCATGTTTCACCATTTGTTTGAAAGGCATCTTCAGTAAAAAATAAATGACTGCCACTAAAACGTCTCATGGAGAAATGCCAGTTTGAAAGGCATCTTCAGTAAAAAATAAATGACTGCCACTAAAACGTCTCATGGTAGAAATGACATCTGACCACGCTGGCAAGTCTTGCACTTGGCAAGAGGGAGCTGCATTCTTTTCTGAAAAAAAAACAGAGACCATCGGGCCTGCAAATGCAGATAAAAACGTGTCAGCAAATTTAACTCAACATGAAATAATCTTTCAGAAGTTCTTAGAAACAAGGTCTTCTATCTCATGAGTTTAAAAAACAAGAGTTGCATACTTTACTTCGCTTGGTGAAAAAATACCGAATACTGTTAGGTGCACGAATTTCCAAATATAAGCCACCCCTAGAGAGGCACTTTGGGGTTCCTAATTGCTCCTAGTTGATGAATAGTACTACATTCCTTCATTCCTCTAATTTAAAAAGTACTTAATTTGTAAACTACTTTTCGTATAACGTAAGGCTGTTTTACTCCTAAATCTCTATATCGTTCGGCCTTTAAGATTCTCTAACCGTACGAAATTTCATTTATAATTGTAGTTCACTTTGCAATACGTTGCATATTGCCACATTTGTCGGACTTGTTGTCATGACTGATGACCAGGCTGAAGAACGCGACAAGGTAACTGCAAACTTTGAGTAATCAAAATGTTCAGATTATCAACCGAATTAAGTTGACCCCGACCATTCCACCTAAATGGCTTGTTGAACGATCCGAAGAAACGTTGGTAAATCTGGACTACCTTACAGAAGTTTATAAAGAAGCGAGACGCTTGCGATACCGAAAAGAAGGTCGTCCCGGCGCAGCTGAAGGTGAGAGTAATGTCAAGGCGGCAGCATCAGTTCGAGAAAGAAAATCCCCTTATGTCACGGAGCAAGACAAACTTGTCTACCGAAATCCGAGTGAAATAGTCCGCAGCCTCGAAAAGCCCCACCAACCAGTTCCATGATGCATCTAATATCTTTGTATCTTATTTTAACTGCTATGACCACTTTTTGAGTTATGAAGTCTTCAAGAAGATGGAAACGACTTCTTGCACTATGTTCATAGATATCCGTAAAACTTTGCCTAATGACGCGATCGATTCGCGAGCTTTGCGATTTTCTGTGCTTCACAGTCACCTCTTAGTGATGCATTACTGAGGAAGACAGTACTACCAAACGTTTGTGTTGGACGAGGGTAACTGCCGGTAACCGAGGTTTTTGGTACTGTGATGCACTCTAGAATATTCATTGTGGATTTAGGTCATTCACGTTAGGTATACACATGCCAATGGCTGGCAAGTTCCCACCGAGATTTAAGCATACATAGCCACTAAATTTGGTTGAAGGCCTTTTATTGAAGGCCTTTTTTGAACTTGGCGAGCCAGAGGGCTCGTACTTTTATTAACAAGATCTGAAGCATAGAAAACGGTGTGCAATATATTATTCAATCAATCGTTTCAGCCCAGAATGCTGTAAGATTTCGAGTCGTACCGCCAGTTTTTATCAAAGGCAGACAACAGCTAAATGCAGTCATCTGCATCATTCAGCTTGAAAATCAAAGTCTTGGATAATCCGAAGAGCACAGTAAGCTAAGCTAGGATTTCTAGGCACCATGATTTGTTCCAATGCCAAGATGACTTGAGGGCTAAATTGAAATATCCTCTATCATGATCCTCACCTTCACAAGTCCCACGTTGTCATGTTATCTTTTGTGGCAGTTCATCCAGTGAGACATGAATAGCCACCAACTGATCATTTAGGACAGATAAGTACCTGGGGCATTCAGTACCCAGCGACTTATTTGAAACAACAGTTCGAAGATTTTTACGCAGAGGATGGAAAATGCTGCGACTTTCATGCCTGACACTACAAGTGGTTAGATTTCATTTTGCACCGGGTTGGTTGGGTATCTGATTGCAATATAATCTTAAAAAACAAACTTAGGTGATACGGTGACAGAGTGCACAGTAATCTCGGCTGGAGTGAACAGCTTGAGCAAATATAATGGTCATGTTTCAAGGTCCTGGGTGAAAACACGGTACCGCCTTTCTTGGAATAAGGTATGTTTCAATACGACATTACGATTCTTTCTGTAGTTTTCTTGGTGACTGGAGATGTGGGTAAAGTTACCTCGAGCTGTTGCGACAAGAAAAGTTAAAAACCGTTCCTTAATAACTGTAAGAAAATCTTCCGGTGAATGACCAAGAACTCGTCCATTGTTTTGAGCCAGACGCATTATGAATACACACAAGAAATCCATCACAAATTCAGTGATGACCGATTTTATGTAAATTTTATTCTGCACCCCTCTCATTGTGACCAAATGACCTAGTCTACCTCGCGCGTTTGTGCAGCTATGCTCTCTTGAGGCCTGGAAGAGGATAAATGGAGTGAGAGGACGATGTCTCACAAAACGGACATTTCCGCAATGACATGGCGACATGCTGAAATCCTGTGTGCGGATTACTTTAGCAGCTATGATATCTTTGCTATAATGCATGCGTATAAAGGCGTCTGTTATGCATGCTTTGAACACGTTGTTTGCTCAATACTGTCAATTCTACACGAGAAAGATAGCCCTTGCTACGCTCTATCGACGGGCGAAGATTAGGTGACTTCGAAAAAGTTCGACCTTAAACGAGGGAATATAGTTGACCGAATATCGATTTATGGAACGAGTTGCATGAAAAAGTAAATTAATCAAATATTCAGGTATTCGAGAGGGGTCAGAGACTCAAGAAACAGATCAGTGTTTATCGTTTCTTTGGAAAATTACGGTATATTTGAGGCTTCTTCTGGGTTATTCACAAGACGGGTGATGAGTGAAACGCTTTCTGTTAGCGGCGAGCAGTGGATGGCTTAAGGTACGTCAACTGGTAGGTGATTTTAGCCTGCTCGGTGAGAGTGATGAACTTTTAAGGTAATTTGCCTATTGGGCCAGATCACCACAAGAGGAACTTGCCGCATGGTCCTACTACCCCTATCCTTCTGCACCTCAACGTTTCAAGCAAATGTGTTGCAACTCGTATGAATGAACCGTTGCACGTCTTCAATTGGGATTTGTCTTGTAAGGTCAACTTACGATAAAACATCGATGGGTATTTTACAGCCGTTCTATTCGTATTTGGAATCATCAGTAGTGCGCATCTCCCAAAGCTCTCCAGTATGATTCGATTCGGTGTGATATCTTCACATGGATTGGCCCAACGGTTCGTGAAAATCAAGTTGTAGATTCTGGGGTGTTGACTGAATGGCGCCTGCTTGACCCTCACAACTGGTTCTTAGTCTTATACTTTGACAGCTCAATGTAAAAAGAAAGACCGGACCCATTAGGCCAGCCAGAAATCAGTGAACGTCAGTGGACGAAATCGTAGTTGAAAATTTCCAAATCTCCTCACATTACCATCATAGTTGACTGTCCAAATTCTGTCTCAAATGGTGTGAGATATGACCCATCTCAAATGTGAGGCCCGATAACAATGAAGCCATTTCACGACATAAGGCACCATCAAGATCAAAGCTTGATAACAAGATCCCTCAGTGGATATGGTGCGAACTCACCACTGAAAAAAAACATTGTTTGAATCCCCTCGTGAATTCTTTGGTCGTTTCTGCATAGGCTTGGGCAACCTAAGGGTATCAGGACTTTTTTCTCCCCACTGACCACATGGCAGCTACGTGGCGAAATGACTTCAAAGCTGGATAACCTGATTTTCTAGGCTGTGTGAAAAAAGGCCTTTGAGTCCACCGGCTGGACTAATTGTGCATATATTTGGGGAGAGTCAATAGCTCTGTTGTTGAGCACGAAAGGAAGCCATCCATAGGCTACTTGCCCAAACTAGTGACTGAGTAGGGGAAGTTTTCACACTATTTGAGGCACAACATCGGCCCGCTGACTTCTTTTTATGACGGGTAGTAAGAAACCGGTGTAAGGATTAATAAAATAAACTGATAATCAGCTGCTCAAGGACAGACGATATGGTGTTCGCCGGTCACCGGAAGGTTGTAGGTCCGAATCCCTTCACGAATTCTTGATATAGAGTAAGGATGAAACAGCATTAAAGTGCTGCTTAGCTTTTCGGTATAAATGACGTCAATTGTTAGACGAAACGATAATTGAGAGAGACTAAAAACCATTTGGTCCTGATTTCCTTAAGCGTCCTTTGCCACACACGTGCAGTTTATGTACTACAGACAACTGAGGCACTGCCAAACGGACTCTAACTCGCTGATTCAAGGAGCCACTTAATCAAGACTCTGGTAACTAGTTGGCTTGCTTCGAGAGACTTTGTGTACAGTCTGATCAGCTGAGATTCAATGATCACAAAAGCTCCGGAATCAGTGCTGTGTACTAAAATTCAAGGAATTTTTAAGGGAAGCCCGTTGTTTTTTTGAAGAAGTGTCTAATGATTAATGAATTAGATTTACTGCTGTACTGGCTGGTACTTGCCGAACCAAGTACTTCATGGATATGTCCAACTGCATGTTCTTTCGTTTGTCTGTTCTATCTTGGTCGCCGCCCCCGCATCGAACCCGTAAGTTATGTGAGAGGCAGTAAGATTAGACAATCTAGTTTTACGTTGATGGAGAAGCCTTCAACTGATTTGGATGAAATTGAGCTGTTGAGATGCATTAGGAGAACTCAGCTGTTCAAGTGTTCAGCTTAATGCACATACTTCTAGTTCCACAGAACCAAACAGTGACTAAAAGTCTCCTAATCAACGAATCACATGACCCGAAATTACTGAAAAGATGAAACTAGTGTTCATTGCAATCTGGTGAATAAAAGAATCCTTAAACCAAGAAATCACACACGAAAGCCTGAAGGGGCGGAAGATCAATAGTAATTCTCTCAACATAAATATTATTGTTCTACAGACAAGCCACAGACACAACTATCTATCTTTATTTTGATTGAACATTCGGATGAACCATTGTTGCTATGGCAACTCCAGTGTTCTTTCGTTCGTCAAAAATGGCCCGAGAAAAAGGTCCTTCTTTTATAAGAATTCTACCTTGGGGAACGCGGTCATACAATTGTAACATTTTCTATGTGGCCGTAACAAACCATATTACAATAAAGGAGGTTTGACAAGAAATGAATGAAATGCTGATCGCATTATGTATGTTGCCGAATGCATCCGATGATACACTGTTATTTTCAGTCTCAGACAGAAGTTTCATGGGGAGCTTGTGTGCAAATTGTCTAAGACAACCACAGTAAGCTACATTTGGATAAAAGTAATCTACCACATTCTCCCCTCTTCACGCGTTTTCCCTACCCTTTGTATTTACAACGCAACTCACCTCACCGCCAATCATATAAGAGGTGATTGGTGGATATCCGGATAGCTATCAAAATCTGGAACGCTTCATCAGGTTGTTACTCGTTTACAACTTAGAAAAGGGCCGGATGCCCGAGTTGTACTGATTAGCACTCATTGACGGACATGCGAATGTGAGTGATCCTCATTTGCCATATTTCCTAGACCATTCACTGCATTAATCTGAAAGATACAAGGCATCGTTCGCTGAATTCATTGCACCTTTTGATACATAACCCAATACCTAACTGAAATCAAGGATAATAAGGCCATACCCTCATAAAGCATTGGGATCCCTGGCGAACACCATATCGTCCGTCCTTGAGCAGCTGTTTATCAGTTTATTTTATTAATCCTTACACCGGTTTCTTACTACCCGTCATAATACGAAGTCAGCGGGCCGATGTTGCGCCTCGAATAGTGTGAAAAATTTTCCCTACTCAGTCAAAAGTTTGGGCGAATAGCCTATGGATGGTTTCCCGTCATGCTCAACAGTAGAGCTAC